GAAAGAGTGCCACGTGTCCGAAATTGGTGAGTCATGTGAGCCACGTGTCGCCTTCCCTCGCATGAACAGTAGTCGTGTGTCGGATTGTGATACGACCGAAGGGAGGCCCAACCGAAGCACGGTGCGTGTTCGATGCTGCTGAGTCATCCGAGACTAGCTGTCCGACCCGTGTCGCACCCCCCTCGCACCGAAGGCTCGGTCCAATCAGGAGCTGCCAGCAGCCCTTCGCACGCGCAGCCCATGTGCGAGCACCTGCGCACTCTCGCCTGCGGACCCCACCTTCCCTAGCCGACTTCAGACCCTATAAATAGAAGGGGTATGCGAGCCTTCTCGGGTAGTTTTGGAGTTTTGCCATTTTAACCCCTTTTTCCATATTTTCTTCATCTTAACATTCCCAGAAGCCCCGATATCAATTATAACCCCCGGAATACGCCACGAAGTGCCCGAGAAGCCCGAAAAATTTATCTTTTCGGTTTCGAAGCCCGACCCTTCGCAGAGCCCGATTTCTTAATAAAACTCCCGGTTTTATTAGAAACGAACGTTTTAGGAAACGAATTGCTGCCCGATTTTCATTAAATCATGTGAGTGTATAGTCACTTTCATTAAACTAATTGGTATGTACTTGACTCGATTATGAGCATGGTCCTTTTGGGTTGCCTTCACCATAGCAACTGATAGGATGAATTAAGGAGAAAGATGATTAATTATGATTTATTAATATATTATGTGAATAATATATTAAAAGAGAAATCATATTGTTTAATTAATATTGATCAAGAATTAATATAGAATTAATTTTGTGGTCAAAAGAGATTAATTAAATAAAGGGGACTGATACTGTAATTATAAGATAGTTACAAAGTTGGGCTTAGGATCCATAAGGATGGAATGGACGAATTCTATATGAGAGTCCATATAGAAATCGTCCAAGGGCCTTCTGGAAGGATCCATTGGGCTGCTTAAGGACTAAGCAACTGGATTAGGGTTTCCTAGTTGATAACCCTAGAAGCCTAACTATAAAAGGAACCCTCTAGGGCACCAAATTAGTGCCTAACACTTCTAAGAGAACCCTGGACGAATTTTGTGCCTCATCCTCCCTCTCCTAAGTCATCTTGTTGCTAGTGGTGTTTGTGACTCCATTAGAGGTGCAACATTTGAGGCAATAAGCTTTCAAAGGTCAATGATATTCAAGGAGAACTTGTTATTACTACATAACAAGAAAGGTAAGATCTAAAACCTAGTTTATATGTCAATTTGATTGTTGTATGCTAGTTCTTAGGATCATTGCATTGGTATTCAATGTTGTTGTGTTCATAGGAGAAAACCTAGATCAAAGCAATTAAGGTTGCATGTACACCATATGAATGATGTAATGCTCATAATCCATCAGAACCGACTTCTAATTCGATCTTATACATGAGTGCACTCCGCACAACCCCGTACATATATTAGAGTACAAATTACGAAGCCCTTTAGCTCACATGTTAGTTTCAGTTACTTAAAATGACATGGTGACACTAAAATCACCAACATGGAGGCAGCGACGTCGATGCAGGTAGACGGCGGTGGCCAGATTGGCAATAACAACCAGCCTTATGGCCGAAATACATGGTGATCAGCTAAGACCACTTCCATTTCAGTATAAGCATCTTAAGTGACGGTAAATTTTCAAGCCCTAAGTTCAAATTTTCAATGAAATTAAGAATTTGTCAAATGCATGATGAAACTGATGTTAGGTTGATGTTGTTTACATCAAATGAAGTTCAAATACATTACGGAATCAATTGCAAATTATGAAATTTTTTAGTTTGTATACATTGTTATGCGAAATTCATTTTCAGTATGTGCTTCAATTTCAAAATGAATTCCAAACCAACAATTCGTTAATATATGAATTATGCACATGCAAGGTTCACAAATTCATCCATATAGTCAACACACCCTCTATCTTACAAGTTGATGAAGATGGCTCAAGAGATGCTTATAGCTAATAGTTAAATGGACATGGCGCCCTCCTAAATCAATCACTTTTTCATATGAGAATGCCTTCAAAAAGTCAGCTATTCTGAGGTTATCTCTCTAAATAAATCACTTTTTCATTGTTAATATATGTTTGATGTTTGATCATTTACACAAGGTTTTAACCACATTTTGTTGCTCAGGTCGTTAACACCATTAACCCAAAAGTAGAGGATGTTGCGACTCTAATTGACTTTCATTGTCCGATTTCACGAGAACTCTTTACTACTTTAGGGATCATGTTATTGTTTCCACATGACAGGTGCATTTGAATTTGTTCTTGAAATCATGAATAAGATTTCTTCTTTTTCCTCTTTAATTATAGATTTGATATGCATTTAATTAATAAGGTTTGTCAATAATATTGAAAATGAAAAACACGAAGTTAATATATTACACGAATAGTTCGTGTAAAAATTATTACACGGATAGTCAATTTATTAATTATACCCTTCCTAAATTCACAAAGAAATAAAGAAATAAAGTTGCTAAAAACAAGTGATTAGCATCATACCATTCACAAAAAAATTTTCTTTTTTGCATCAGACATAACTTGTGTTTTTACCATTATTACACACAAACACATGAACAAAAACACACACACAGTAACAAACTAACATGTAGATCCTTAACAAAAATCTATAAAACAGGTGCATGTTTAAAAAAAAGACAGAATGCATTGTCGAAAAGAAAAAAAAATATTTACAACAATGGTTTAATTCTTTTTCATATTTGAAAGTACATTGCCACTATTAGATTGTTTTTGAACGTTTGTTGCTATTTCTACGCGGTTTTACAAGTATGATAAACTTGTTTTTTTACCCTTATTACACACAATAATAAATGAACAGGTCATTTGTAGAAGTCAAAATAGAAAGAAGAAGTGCATAAAAATGACCAATTGTTTATCTATGAAAGTAGGTTCCTAAATCATACATACTCTTTAAAACACATTGCTATTTAAAGGTATACGAAGACAAAAAAAAAACTATTCTTTATACTTATATGAAGGGATTTACAGAAAAATGAAAGGCTTGTTTTTGGATTATAATTTCTATTGTAACAACGACCTACTATTAAGTTTTAGTAAAATAACAGGATATAACATCCTACTTTTTCTAGAAATTTAATTTGATTTGTGTTTGAAACTGTAAGTATTCTGAAAACAGGCACTTGAACATGGATTTTGAAACTCTTTTTTTGTAAACAACAACAGTTTATAAATTTCGTTCTTTACCAAATATTTGTAGAAATCAAAACAGAAAGAAGAAGTGCGTAATAAAAATAATAATTAACATTGAAAAGCATATAACAAGTTCTAACCTTTTGGTGTTTGCTATTTTTATTGATGTTCTTGTGATGCAGGAAGTTGTATACCAAATAAAAATCGTCAGATTAGAAGGATGAGGATATTGGTATAATTATTAACAGGCAAAACGCGTGTGAGAGTTATATTAGGAGAGAAAATTGTGAACGCCTATTATTTTGGGGTTTAGCTTCAATTATACGATTTCAATAAAGGAGAAAGCAACAAATAAGTATGGTAAGTTAAAATTCAAAAGAAGATATGATTTCTGTTAGTTTGAATACATATACAATTTTATTTGATGAATTATTGAAATGCATTAAAACCGACTAAGATTAAGGGATTCAAATAACCGGTTTCCTATATTACAGATTTATTGAATTTATTGAATTATTGAATGTTTTCATTTGCAGTTTTTTCTAGACGAGAATTAAAATATGACATGACACGTGTAATTATTAGAAATTTTTACGAAAAAAGTGTAAATTAAGAGAAAAAGACATATGACATAAATCAACTATTTTTTTATTAGTATAGGTAGATAGGTAGATTGGACATTTCTTGAAAATTAAGAGGTAGAAATATTACTACATTATGTACAATCCTTTTTAGCTTAATATCCATTGCAATTCGTGTAACGTCTCCAATATAGAAAAAGAATCCCAAAAATGTTCCTCCCCCATTCTCTTTAAACCCTAGATCTCCTATGCCCACTTCCCCAACAATTAAGAATGAACTACCACCACGAACCGGTGTTACCTGTTTATTTCTCCGCCACCACCACCCACACTTCGCCATCGTACCAGTGACCGCCAGCTACACTTGCATCTCCTCTGTCTGCCTCCATCTTCAATCGTTGCTAGAATAAGCAGAAACAGGTAAACTTCTATGTATGTTTTTTACTCATAAATCTTGACTATCTGTTACATCACAACCAAATCTTATTGATTTATACTTTTTCTTTCCAATAAAACTTGATTTTGATTTTTAGTTTCAGTAGAAGAGTAACTTTGAAGGAGAACGGGATATGGGTTCTATGAGTAAAAGTTTGGATTTCTTTGCTTTACTACCTCGTATCTAAAGTCACACCCGTCTTTATGCTTGAATTCTCAGTCTCAGATTTAAACTTCTCTTTTTCGCTTCATTGCTCGATCTCAGATCTGATCTTATGATTTTTTCCATTAGTTTTTATTTTGTTTAATCGATTCTCAGTTTTTATCAGTTTTTGTGCTTCAACTCTTAGCCTTAGATTCAATTCAGTCTCTAGATAGAACTTTCAAAGGAATATGTTTCTTGCTGAGCATTGGTAATGGTCTGTTTCTATCTATCTATTCTTGAGATATAGTAATTATTGATAAATTCTTTATTTTCATCTACATTTAATCTATCATTAATGGTGTATAAATGTTTGCATAAAATCATCTATTCTTTTTGGATTTTCTTTGACTATACCCCTCTTCGTAATAAAAAGACATGCTGCTAACTCAAAGGTTTACTCTCCATGGTATGAATGAGCGTGGGGTTTTTGATTTAGTTCAATTCACACACACACACACATCACTACATCTGAATTGATGGTGTTGTAGAATTTTATCTTAAATTTTTTGTTTTTTTGCAGGTTACATACTCTTTTTTCATGAAAACTACACATATTCCCCCTTACCAGGATTGACATTTCTTTTACTCAGAGAGTTAAATTTATGGTTTTGCTCCCAAAAAGAGTTATCTTGCTATATTAGTTATTCTTTTTAAGCTTATTAATAGTTTTGATCCCTATTACAAAGAAAAAGATTGTCTTTAGGGCTGTGTGGGTTAGGGAGGTGGTGCCATATAAACCTAGTAATAATAAAAGAATGAAATACATGTTCATAAAAGGTGTATGTTTAGAGTTCCTGAAGGTGATTGACTATTTAACTTTTCACTAATTTTTTCTTTGTTTGGCTTGGTTGTAGGTTTTAACATTGATTTCTCATATATAAATTTGATGAATTTAAGTCATTTAATGTACAAGCTTCAATGGGTAAGTTTATTTCTTAATTTCTACGACCATCTAAATTCAAAGGGAAAATGTTGGGGTTGCTTTAATTGTACTCTATATTTTTAATGTTTCTATATATTTAATTATCTCATACAGATTAAAAGAGAGCTTTGGATGATTTTTTGTTCATTGATAGTGCAGGTAGGTGTAAACGTTAAACAGTTAAGAGTTTGGTGTTGCATTTTACTGGTTTGTTAATTAAATCATTTAGTTGGTCATTTTGGACCAATTTGACCCTGATGCTGGTAGGTAGTAAATATTGAAGCCGCCATTGCTTATTGGGTTTGGAGTTTAGTAATAGTGAAATTTATAAAGCTCTTGATAGTTGGGTTAGTTCCTACCTGTGTCGAGGGGCAGTTTCGCCTTTGTTGATGAATTTACCCTTGATCCGGGCATACCCTGAACCGAGTAATATCACTCTTCTCATCTGGTGTTGCACACCAGTTCAATGACCTACCTACTCTTCTCATCTGGTGTTAAAATCTATCTCGAAGTTGCTTCCATTGGTTTTTCATTCAGGTAATTCTTTTATATTCATTTCCTACTCATTTATGTTCATTTATTAGTTGTGAAACTGATATTATATCTTGTTGAATGGGAGTTAACATGCTTACACTCAATGTTAGAGATTATTGGGGAATTGACATGAAAAAATGGCACTCGGGATTTGTGGAGTTTGTATGTTTAGGTAAATAGGATTAGGGCCAATTTAGTTGATTTTTTTTTTTTTTTTTTACTTTTGTTCTTTTTTATTTTAATTGTAGTTTTCCTTTATTCTATTTTTTGTCCTTCGTACTCTTTATTTGTTCATAAGATCAAATCTCTATTTCAAATTGTGATAATATGCTTATATTTAGTTTCACTCGATTTAAGGAATCTTGAGGTAGGTAGAGCATCCAATATTTCGAAACATGTTTATGCTTTGTGCATGTTTTGGTTATATTTTGTTTCCACATTTTTATTTCTTGTTTTTTTTAGGTGTTAACCTACATTTAAAAAAATGAAAGTTTAAACTACATTCTCATCTGCTTGTAATTTATAATTTACTGTTATACAATAAGAATTCAATATTATATTTTCAATATTAAAATTTGTAATATAAATTGTTTTAAGGCTTATTGTCTGTGTATGCAATAATTTGTCTATTAATATGTGTAGCTCATTTTTATGTTAAAATAGTAATAAAAACGTTTTGTGGACAATATATTATTAATAATATAGTTAAATATATTAAAAAATTATAAAAAAAAAAGATTATAACAAAAAGTTGAAAATTTGATAAATAATAATTCTACTATTTATTATTATTATTATTTATGTTTCAAATCCGTTAAAAAAACTATAAACAAAACATAATTTTATAAAATTTTGGAATTGAAATTCGATATATATTTTGTCAGCAAAATACGTAATATTTCGTTGACGTATTTATAATCTTTTTAAAATAATTTGTGAACAAAAAAGAAGATTTCTAAATAAATCTAAACATCACAGGTAACTAAATAACTTTTTCGTAAAGTTTATCTATAAATTAATATGTTATCTTCCTAAGAAAATTAACAAAATAAAAATATTGGTAATTCTATTAGGCGTGCTTAACAAAATACGTGAACCATAATCAAACAAAAAAAGAAAACTATACACATTCGGTTGACCATTCCTACAAAATAAAAAAATCAATTGGGTTTTGAATCGTCATTTGTCACTCAAGATTTGAAATATAACAACTATTCGCCGTCGTTCCTTATACAACAATATGTGCCCAACTATTAACGGTAAATGAAAGTAATTGTTGATAATAATATTTATATGACTTGTGTACATTGAAATTACTCACATTTTCCTTATACAACAATATGTGCCCAACTATTAACGGTAAATGAAAGTAATTGTTGATAATAATATTTATATGACTTGTGTACATTGAAATTACTCACATTTTTTCTACTGGAATTAATTGCAAAAAGAAACTATTTGGCGCCGCCGCTTTGCACGGGTAACGGCTAATATATATATATATATATATATATATATATATATATAAGGTGAGGTTCAATAGAAAACCATAATTAACAAGGAACCAATCGTGAGCGTCGGAAATCATAACGATCAACGGGTAAGGAAATAGATGTACACATTTACATTGGACGCACACACACCGGATTATACCAAAAAATCCACCATTTACAAAAAAAATTCACCACTTTTTTTCGTTTAAAATTTTTTTTAGGCCATGTTTTTTATCAAAAAAAAAAAAACCGAATATACCGTTGTTCACGATTTTTCGTCCTCTTTTCATAGAGATCCATGATAATATATAAAAAACGAACTTTTTTTTTCGAAAAAAACCCACTTCATTTTCTTTGATGAAAAAAGTTAAGGTCTATTTTTTATAGAAAA